CTGGCCTCACCTGTGGTCAGTTGACCCAGACTCACAGCAGCCCCTTCTGGCTGATAAGGGATCGTAGCTTGCAGAGGCTGTGAGTTTTGTCAAGGACCCCATCCACGTTGGGCGTCTGCCCTCCAAACCCAGGCTGGTGACCACCACGGCTCTTTCCCACGGCACTGGGCTGCTCGATGGCAGCTTCCAGGGGGCTGGGCTGCTGGCACCACATCTCAGATGGGGAAAACTGCGAGTCTGTGCGTTGCTGAGCGAGGGTCCCACAGCAAGGGCAGAACTCAGAGCTTCCCCCGCTCAGGGCCATTGCAGCCTCCCCGCACCCGCACAGCCTGCCCTCCAGGGAAACAAAGTTTTCCCAACCCTCTTTCCTGGGGGTTTCCATGGTCTCCACCAGATTTCTGACTAGCTCTTCCTGCCTTCGTCATCCCAAGGAGAAGGAGCCAGGGAAGGAAACCGGCGGGACTCATTTGCTAAGCCCTTGTAAGCTCTGTTGTGACTCACCCGGCTCTCTCCCTGAAACCCCCTCACATCCCCCTCTTCAGGGCAGGCTGGGAGGCTCTCCTGGCCCTCAGGAGCCCTTCCGTGGTCCTGGGCGGTGATCCCCCGAGGCAGAAGCTTAGGGGCACCCAGTCCTTCCAGGAGGAGGCCCCCGGCCAGCAGGAAGGAGGTGCTAAAGTCCCAGATGGTATACGTCTCCCTGCTCAGCAAGCCCAGAGCCAGGAGGCCCCAGGGCCAGGCTCGTGGACTGGGCCAGGAAAGCCTGCTCCCCGGGGCTGGTGCGCAGTGGCCACCTGCCCTTCCACACGGGCCCAGAAAGGGGCAGGTACCTGCCACACCCACACAGCCTGTCTCCCGCAGCAAGTCGAGGGGGTGCTGGGACTGGAACCCAGGGCTCCTGCCCCCCAAGCCAGTTCCCCTTCACCCTGGCCTGCTGAAGACCTACGGAGCATGTGGCTGGTCCCTGCTGGGGCTACAGCATGGTAGGGCCTGGCCCCACCTCAGGGCGGAGGGTTCTATCACAGGTCTCAGAGGGGTGGGAGACAGCTAGTCAGTGATGGCTGGGGGGTGGGGGCGCGGAGTACTACGGGAGGGGAGCATTTGGATTGGCAGAACCTTCTGGAAGCTTCCTTCTGGAATCACTAGCAAGAGGGGCTCTCATCCTGGCACCATCACTTATCAGCCTTGAGCGAGTGACTTAACCCACATGTGCCTTAGTTTCCCTACCTGGAAAATGGGGTCAGGATTGACCGTGAGGACACACGTCTTAGAACACAGCCTGACTTTCTACGTTTTACAAATGTTAGCTACTCTTCTTCTTGTTATCATCATCACATTCCCTCCCCCAGGCAGGGATCAGCCGTTCCGGGGCCCGGAGGCCTGAGGCCAGCTCCGGGGACAGTTAAGCTGTCCTGCGCCTGGGGTGGACTCACTGCCTGAGCCCAGCACTGCCGGCCCTGGCAGCCGATCAGACGTGGTGGGCCCCGGGCGGGGGCGACTGGCTGGATGGACGGGGCAGCCGGGCTGCACTGGACACACAAGAGGCCTGCCAGGGGCAGGTGCGGGCCCGGCTTGGCACATGTCCTGGAGAATTCTGGGGCTAGGCTGGGCCTGGTGGGGACGGGCCACGTCCGGGTGTGTGTGTGGCCGGAGTGGGATGGGGCTCTGAGTCTTCAGTTCTCCTTCAGCAGAGTCACCTCCATCGTTCTCTTGTTTGTGTCTTTGCTTTTTCAACTCCCTGGGCATTTCCAACGGCCTGCGGGCCCCTGGCTGGGTGGATAATGGTGGCGTTGATAACCACAGAGCAGTAGTCGTATTGGTTGAGGGGCCCCGGGGGGCCGGGCTGGTGCAGAAACCCTGTCCACGAGCTGACCGGGGGTATCACGTGCTCCCCATTTTTATAGGAGAGGACTGAGCCTTCTGGAGGATGGTGTCCCACCCAGAGTCACCCAACTCGAGGGGTCGGGCCACGTTGCCGCCCTGAGTTTCCCTAGCTGGCGGGGTGGCCCTGCCTTGGGAGCTTTTCTGACCTTGCATGGCCCAAGGCCAAGTCTTCCCAGCTGGTTCCAGGCCTCAACTTGCTGCATCCTCAGCCAGGAGCCCCATCCTGTGCCGCGGTCCCTTGGCTACAGAGATCCGGTTGGCCCAGGACCGGGGGAAATGCTTGCGGCTCAGACAGGCTCTGAATCCCACAACCCCACCCACGCTGAAGGGCCCCAGACAGGTGCCTGGCAGGGAGGCCTCCATCCCGTCCTTTGACACCTTCCGAACTCTTGTCCGGACCTGGAGCACTATTTAAAGAGCTGTCCCTCAGCTCCCCCAGCCCTGCTGCAGCGCGAGGGAGCATCCAGACCATGGTAGGCTGGGGCTGCCCTGCCTCCTGCCCCTGACCTCATCCCGCGGCCTTGACTTCGTTTGTGACTCTGACCTTCACCTCATTGCCTGAACTCACCCTGACCTTGACCTCGCTCCTCTCACTGACATCCTTGACCTTGACCTGATGTCCCTGGTCCCGATCTTTTCTTCCCCCTTGGTGTCGTCCCCGCACCTGGGCCCCCTGGGCTGCCCTTATGGGTGGCCAGTCCGTCCGTGTGGGTCCTGATTTGGGTCTCTGCTTTCCTGGACTCGGTGGAGGCTGCTGAGCGGGGCGGGGGTGGGGTCGGTATTCCAGGGCAGCGTGTTCCCATGGCACCGGGCCTGGGGCCTGCCCTGCTCTCTCCCCTTGCGCCTGGGCTCCGTGGCTCTCCCTGCAGGCTCTCAATGGCGGCAGCGCTGCACTGCTAGTTTATGCCTCTGTCTCACACGCCCTCGCCAGTCCCTCCTGGCCTGAGAGCCCGGACTCAGTGTCAAGCCTCAGCTCAGAAGCTGCCTCCTCCGGGAGGTCTGCCCTGAGTGCCCCAATGGCAGAGGGGCTTCTCTGTGTTCTCAGCGCCCATCCCTCCCCCATCACTCTCTACTGACCGTCCGTCTCCCAGCTGGACCGTGAGCTCCTTGGCGACAAGGATGGGGCTTGATTCAGCCCTGGGTCCCCGGGACTGGGCATAGGGCCTGGCTGGATGTCAGCAGGTCCCTAATAAATGTCCTGATGCTTTGAGGTAGGCATTCTCTTGGTTTACAAATGGGGAAACTGAGGCTCAGAGCAGGCAACTGATTTTCTTAACATCACAGAGGCCGTGAGCGCTCGGGTCTGGGTGACCCCCTTCTGCCCTGAGGTGTTCTTTTGGGGGGATTTTTATTTTTTAGGGGCACGTTATAAAAGGGAATTTCCAAGACAGCTGGGCTGGAAAGAGTACTGACTGGGAGATCAGACGCCTGGCCAGGACCCTGGGCCTCAGGGTCCCCTGTGTAGTCAGAGAAAACAGTCTTTCCTCCCTTGCAGGTTTCTGGAACAGGGCCTGGCACACCGTAGGCGATGATTCACCAGATGGACGTGAAAGGCTGGGTCGAGGCAGGGATGGGGACACGGAGGCCGAGGGCAGGTCTGAGGAGAGAAAGGGCAGAATATCCCACAGACAGAAGCGATTGTTTTTACTAATCGGAGGGAAATGCGTATGTAATTATGTGAGATGAACTCTGCGGGGAGGTTCTTTTCTTTATGATGTCTGGAGGGATTTATAAATATTACAGAGGTTTTACAGCATCATAACGTCCCGGCTGCCCTGCCAGCCCCTTTCAAAGGATTAGTGGAGACAAAGCACTCAGGAAAAGCTAATTATAAGTCGACTGGGTGCTGTTGCTCCTGAAATGAGCCTGGGAGCCGGAGGGCAGTGGGGGCGAGTGCGGGGGTGGGGGAAGCTGGGGTAGGGGACAGAGGTGAGCTGCGGGGAGGGGAGACCACACAGGCACTGTGTGGGGGGCAGGGGAAGCCCATTCTCTGGGGTGGGGTAGACAGGGGCTTGGCAAAGAGGGTGGTGCAGGCAGAAATGGAGGCCGGAGCTGGGGGTGGGGGTTCGGCAGTGGGGAGCCCGTCCGCATCTGTTCCACCCCTCCACCTCTCTGAGCCAATTCTGGGACTCCTTGCGCATGGGGTCCCTAGTGATGGCCACTGAGGAAAAGGTCCCTCGGGGGGTCTCGGGGACCCAGAGCTTTCAGCGAAGGCCCAACAGTGGACTCCTGGGCACCATGACATCGTCAAAGAAACGTGAGGCAGGCAGGCTGGCCAGAGGCCCCAGAGTCAGTCCCCGTGGGTGGTCGCCTGCTCCACCTGCTGAGGAGTGCCCCGAGCTCTGGGCAGCTATGTTCAGACTGACCCCCAGTCTGAGCCAGGCCCAGGTCGGGGGGCAGGGAGGTCGGGCAGGGGAGCCCAAGGGTGGGACGGACACAGGGAGATATGGAGGGCAGTACAGGGAGTGCTAGGGGGTGTGGCTGCCCAAGACCGGTGGGGAGGGGGGAGTGGGGAGGAGCCCTAAGCTGGCCTGGGGGTCAGGGAAGGCTTCTCAGAGGAGGCAGCAGAGGAGTTGAGCCTGAAGGATGAGGATTCTTCCAGAAGGAAGGCAGGGAAGGCATTCCAGGTAGTGGGAAGGGCAGGAGCAGATGTTGGGAGAGAAGGAAGCTCAGGTTTGGGGCAGAGTGGGGGACCCAGGTGGGTGGGGGTGGGAGCTCTGGGAGAGGGACAAAGGACAGAGCTCGCAGGCTGAGGGGCCCAGATGTTATCCTGAGAACACTGGGGAGGGTGGTAGGAGAGGAAGGGGCCCCACGCAGGGTCTGATGCTAGAAAAGATGCCCCTCTCTGCTCCACAGCCTGGGCGCAGACCACCCGCCTTCCGGAGCCCCGGGGCCCAGGTCAGGAAGCAGCTGTCTGGCCCTGTGGGGTGGGCTGGGAAACCCCTCTGCTTATCTGCAAGGCTTCGTTAGGAGCCTGTCTGTCTGCTGCGGGCCCTGAGGGAGGGCAGTGTCACTCAGGACGGTGACGCTGTGGGAGGTGAGGCATGAGGGTTGGGGCGGTGGGATGGCTGACCTCCCGAGGGCAGGGCTTCTGCAAGGCCTCACCTGGCCCCTCACAGGCGCCGAGAAGAGCCCGGAAAAGAGCAGAAGGTGGAGCCAGCTCCAACGTCTTCTCCATGTTCGATCAGTCCCAGATCCAGGAGTTTAAAGAGGTTCGTCAGTGTCCCCGGGACCCCTGGGGGGATTAATGTCATGCACGGAAAGCACTCAGGAGCCCGCAAGGCGTGGGGTCAGCCCTCAGCCCCGGGGGGCCGTGCTGTCACCCGTGCTCCTCAGGACCTGCCTGGGCAGCCCCGCCCCTCTCTACCGGAGCCTTTGCTAGCTGTGTGACCCTCTCTGTAAAATGGGGCTGCTGTGAGCATGAAATGGGGGACAACTGTGAAGCCCCAGCAGCGTGTTGGTGCACAGTAGGCGCTCAGGGAGGGTCAGCCATCACTCTCACGCTGCTGTCATGCTGGGCGGAGTACCCGGGTGGCCAGAGGGGCCTGCACTGCTGTGCAGGCAGCAGTTCGCAGGAGGACAGCCCCTTGGGACGGGGGCTGGGCTTGAGCAGGTGGGTGGCCGCTCAGAGCCCGTGTCTCTGCCAGGCCTTCACCATCATGGACCAGAATCGAGATGGCTTCATCGACAAGGAGGACCTGAGGGACACCTTTGCTGCCCTGGGTGGGTGACGAGCAGCAGGGGAGGCTTGGGGCTTGGGGCAGAGTCGAGCCCAGGCCATCCAGACAGAGCAGGCGGTTGGGGCAGGCCAGGGCAGTAGACGCAGTGGCTGTGAAGGGCTTGTGTGCTGTGGGGGGCAGGAAAGGGGCGGCCACTGCCCGGAAGATCAGGGGAAGGCTTCTGGGTGTTAGAGGAGGACTCACCAGGGAAGGCGAGAGGGCATTTTAGGAGCAGGAATGGCCTGTGCAAAGGTGTGGAGGGCCAGGCTGGGGTGAGGGGTCAAGAGAGCGGGGAGATGCCGGGTTTGGTGAGGGGAGGAGGCTGGAGATGTCTCGAGGGTAGAAGGCTTTGGCTGCAGGGGGAGGCTTGTGCGTTCTCTAAGGCCCAGGGAGGGGCCTTAAGGCACAGGGTAGGGGTAGGGGTGAGGTCGGGGGAAGGGGGCATAAGCAAGTCATGTCTGGACTGAGCTTTGAGCCTCTGGAAACCTGTTGTCCACTGGGACCACGCGGAGTCCCGGAGTGCCCCCTCCAGGCAGCCAGCTGACCCCTCCTGGGGTGTGTGAGCCCCGAGGCCCAGGTCCCCCAGGCTCTGCACCTCAGCTGCTCTTCTTTGAGCCCATTTCCTCATCTGTAGAACGAGGACAACAACCAACTTGCTCTCCCTCCCAGGGAGGCCGAGGTGCTGGCTGGGGCGGGGAGGCTGGGGCAGCCCCATGCTGACTGCATTTGCCCCTCCCGAGGTCCCCAGCAGGTGGGCAGGGCCTCAGGGCCGCGTGGGGGCAGGTGTGGCAGTGGAGCTGGGCCATGGCAGGACGCTTTGTGGTCCGAGCTCTGCTCTCCTGGGCCCCGGCGGCAGGGTCCCCTCTGACCCCTATCTGGATCCCTGGTGTCCCCGCCTCTCTCCTCCCCCAGGCCGCATCAATGTGAAGAACGAGGAGCTGGAGGCCATGGTGAAGGAGGCCCCCGGGCCCATCAACTTCACCGTCTTCCTGACCATGTTTGGGGAGAAGCTGAAGGGTGAGTGAGGCCCTGGGGAGCGGATGGGTGAGCGGGAGTGCGAGTGCGCAGGCTGCGCCCCATGTGCAGACGTGCCCCCCACCGATGCACACCACAGCTGGGAGTGTGGTGTCTCCCCCAGACACCAGCCCCCAGGTGCACACACCTTCCCGGGCCTTGCTTTAGTTTCCCTCTACACCACAGAGGGGGAGTAACTGTGAGAACTTCCTCCTTGTAGGGCTGTGAGGGGCCCGGTGGGACGATTTGTGTGAAAGCCCTTTGTACACCATCAGGACGATGCCCCAGCCCCACCTTCCTGCCCCTTGGCGTATCTTCCCTGCTCTGCCTTACTGCCCACTGCTGATGGGAGGAGGTGGTACCGGGAAGGGGGTTCTAGAAGCTACTGTGGCTGGCCCCACTGCAGGCCGGGTTACTCACACAGCCTCCAGGGAAAGCATGGAGGGGCCTCGTTCATGAGTGAGGAGACTCGGGCTCAGAGGGATCCCCACACCTGCCCCAGGTGCCCCATCAACAAAGTGACAGGGATGGAACCCTAACCCAGACTCCTGGCTCTAACCATTGTGCCTCCTGAGACCCAGCATCACCCCCACGGGGGTGGGCGGGGCTTAGGGTAACTCTGTCCGGTTCTCTCTGAGCCCTGAGGAGCTCTCCCCTCCCCCTGGGCTCGAGGTTTCCATGGTCAGAGGGAAGGGCCAGCCTGGGCTGCGACTGCCCTGGGAGGTGGGCCTCCTTGTCACCCTGCCCTGAAGCTGCCCCGGCCTGATGCCCTCCCTTGGCCTCGGCTAGATCTGGGTTCAAGACTTGGCCTCCCACTCGCCCCCAGGGTGACCTTGGGCGAGGCTTGCCTGCTCCCTGCACCTCAGCTTTTTCGTCTGTACAAGGAGGGTTGTGCTAGTTTCCCAAGGCTGCTGTACAAATGACCACAGGCCTGGCTCAAACAACCAGCCATGTGTTCTCTCAGTTCTGGAGTCTGGAAGTCCCAAATTGGGCAGGTCGTGCTCTCTCAGAGGCTCCGAAGGAGAACTGTTCTCTGCCTCTTCCAGCTTCTGGTGCCGTGTGGCTCCCGTCTCCACCGCTGTGGTCCACTGGCCCCCCTCTGTCTGTCTCTCTCCCCCGCCTCACTCGTATGAGGACACTTGTCATCGGATTTAGGGGCTACCTGGATAGTCAGGAGGCTCTCCCTGTCTCAAGATCCTTTCCTTACATCTACAAAGGCCTTTCTCTGACTGAGGTGGCATTTCCAGGTTCTGGGGATGAGGACATGGGCCTATCTTTAGGGGGCCACCATTCCACCTATGACAAGCAGGATCCTACCTGACGTCACAGAGTTTATTTGGTGAGAAATCATAATCCTCTCATGGGTCGTGACCTGCTGGAAAGTACAATAGCCTCACGCACACTGTCCTGGCCAATCCCAGAGCCAGAGGGAGGCCAATGACTGACCTATGACCAAATAGCCCCGCCCTCCGCATTAGAGAGGAGGAAACCGAGGGCCTGAGAGGGGGCAGGCTGGGAGCCGGGGGCTGTCAGGCTGACTCAGCAGTGCCATTGGGCCCCCTCCGGGCAGCTGTTAGGGGTTCTTCCCGGGACCCTGGCCACCTCCTCAAAGAGCTCAGAAGCTCAGGGGGTGCACCCCCGGGGACAGACACGTGTGCTTCAGCCAGTGACTTTAAGGGGAGGCCCAAGTCCGTGGCTGAGCTAAGTGCTATGACCCAGGACCAGGCGGGGCCCACAGGGCTGCAGCTTTTTCTCATTTTTTCGGGGACTGGGTCTCCAGCTGAGCCTGTCATGAGAACTTGGTTGAGCCTGCATGCTCGGCCTGCGGTGGGGATAGGACCCAGGGCTGGGGCAGGCACCGCCTCACCCTCTATTGGGATGAGGACACTTTGTCATGAGATTCCCAATGGGGGTGCAGAGGAGCAGCCACTCAGTAGCCCACGTGACGAGGTTGGCTGCCCGCAGAGCAGAGGCGCTCTCTGGGAGGAGAGAGGGGAGGGCTGGGCTGTGGTGAATGTCCTACCCTGGGCCTGAGCCCAGGGCTGCTGGTCCACGTGCAGCTGGTCCTCAGGAAGGTGGCTGGAGCCAGCCTGCCCCAGCAGTGAGGCCTCTTCAAAGACCCTGGGAGGCTGAGACCACGCACCAGCCTCCCCACCATAATCCCTTGGCCATCTTCTCTGCCTGCAAGGCCAGCTGTGAGGGCCAGAGCTCTGCCCCAGCTGGACCCTGGGCTGAGCCTCTGGGCTCCCTGGTGCTCTGCCCAGAGGAAGCCCATGGCTCTGCCCTCCAGCTCCCAGGCCGGTGGGGCCAGTACTGTGCCAGGCTTGGTCACTCTGGGCCAGCCTCAGAGATGCCGGGTGACTCAGACACTATCCTGTCCTGGATGAGCTCCCAGTCTGATGGGGGAGATACAGGTGGCCTTGACTCAGTCTGATGAGGGAGACACAGCTGGCCTTGACCCAGTCTGATGGGGGAGACACAGCTGGCCCTGACCCAGTCTGATGGGGGAGACACAGCTGGCCCTGACCCA